GCTCATTCTCCAACATACAGTAGTGAAAAATCTGCTATCTGACAATTTTGCCCATTTATTACATATGTCTTGCCAGTGATGAACACTGAGGTGTGGGCTGAGGGTAACACTAGCTGTGATGAGTAAGGTTATGTGTCATATGTGCTGGGCCATGGCTCTCTGTGGCTCCGCAGGTATGTAAGGGCCATCCTCCATGTTCGCAGAACACTGACTTTCACATAACCACCTGCTCTTTCGAGCCTGACTGTGTTGGGAAGTGAGAAATGGGTGTCTGGACCTTCGTCTCTCTCTTTTTAAAAGTTTTTATTGTGAATTATGTGATAGTTTACATGGGAGAACACAAGCTTTACATTCATCCTATAGTATATCATTTTTAATGTTTTATTGTGAATCATGTGACCATTTACCTGGAAGAACATTAGCTTTACATTAATCCTATCGTATATCATTTCACTGCCACGGTTACAGTCCCCTCCATGCATCATCAAACAGCCAAAGGGTACACCCTGCAACCTACACCCTGGTCGTCAGCACACAGCCCCTTCTCCCTCTCTGGGTTTGAAGTCCCCAGCCACTCCATCACTCCATGTCATCGTATCTGCCTCCATCATAAAAAAAAAAAAAAATTGATTTTTTTTTTTTTATGTTTTATTGTGGGAGAACATTAGTTTTATATTCAAACTATCCTATATAGTTTCATTGCCATGGTTACAATCCCTTCCATGCATCATAAAGCAACCAAAGGGTATATCCTATAAGTCTACCCCCCCGCCCCTCTCCCTCTGTGGGTCTAAAGTCCCCAGCTGTTCCATCTCTCCATGTCATCGTCTCTGCGTCCATCTCAGGGATCTGCTTCTCTGGGTAGGGTCCTGCTCTCCGCTCTTTTCCCTTTATGGTCCCAGGGACCTCCGCTCCTAGACTGCAAAGTTAATCACTCCCATCCTTGCTACAAAATGTCTACCTTTACATTTCCAACCCTAACAATCAGTCTTGATAACAGTTATTCACTATTGTATCACAAGAGACCTATCTGCATTTCCTTTCATCAGTCCCAAGTAGACAGATTGGATACTACTAAGTGGAGATTCTACCTTCCTCCACGCCCTCTGGATCTAGGTTCCCTCTTGAAAGCTTGTAAGCCAGTCACTTCTTGCCTTCAATTCTCTCCCTTTGTTACAAAATGTCTACCTTTACATTTCTGACCCTAACAGTTAGTCCTGATAGCAATTATCCACTATTAAACCACAGGAGTCTTATCCCCATCTCCTTTCACCTGCCCCATCCAGACAGGTTGGAAACCACTCAGTGGATAGTCCACCTTCCCCCGTATCTTCTGAAATTAGGTTCCCTCTTGAAAGCTTGTAAGCCAGGCACTTCATGCCTTTGTGCCCCCTCCCCATTTTGGGTAGCCAGTGTCTAAGTTGCCCATCCCTGTCAGCCCTGTGTCCCGAGGGGGGTGGGAATGATCCTCGCTGTAAAGATTTGTTCCCTTTTTTGAGCTATTACATCCATAAGTATAGGTCAAGTTCATCAAATTGTAGCAGATTACTCTCTTTTTTTTTTTTCCTCTTCTTTCCTCTTCTAGTAGAGTTCTGATCATCCAGCCATTGAAGCCAGGTCAACTGGGTACTATCTGCAAGTCTGGGTGTTCTTGTGCATCTCCCCTCACTTCATATCAGCCGGACCCTTCACTCTCCACTCTAGTCCTCTGTGTCCATATCACTGTCTCGAGCCTAGGAGTCCCCGGGTCTTTCCATACTGCTGGCCAACCAGGTTCGCAGGAGTCTATTGAACGTGTTCAGATTTAGCTCACAACTTCATTGCTGTTTGGACCTTCGTCTCTTGTGAAATTATAGGATTTTGAGTTCCAAGTCTTGGTTCTCAGTCATCACTCCACCACTTAATACCTTCCTCATTGAGCAGGTTTCTGCACTTCCCCTCCCTCTAGGCCTCACCCATTGGGTGGAGACCCCACAGGCAGCCGACACGTGAGTGTTAGTCCGCCTTCCCCTTCGCACCACTTTCTTCTAACAACACGGAAAACCTGCATCCACTCTGGGATCCCAGCACCCTCTGCAGGGCCCCATTGAGGAGAAAATGAAGACATGTCCCGATAACCTTCTTTCCTGCTTGTCTCCCTGCTCTCCTCTGCCTCTGTCTCCTCTGTCCGCCCCTGCTATCAGCACAGCAGTCCCGGGCAGATCTGTAAACATCTGTCCATTCCCTGCCATGCACCAGCTGCTGTGCTGTGTGAGTGCTAGGCCAACATCCAGCTGCAATGGAAACCGAGCTACTGGTGAGAAACAGAAATGACATGTGTGGGCTTGGGGATTTGTTTTTGGTGTGTGTGTGTGTGTAGCTATCAGTGCAGAGTCATGGTGTGGCGCTGTAGGATAAGCACTGGATGGCTAACCACAAGGTTGTTGGTTCAAACCCAACAACTAACTGCGCCTCTGAAGCCCTGTACAGGGTCGTTACATGTTGGAATCAACTCAACGGCATTTCACAATGACCTCAGTGCAGAGGGACGGCACAGTGTGAGGATCACTGATCCCCAGGCTCCCCGGTTCCCTGTTCTTGTGGCCTTTGTCCTCATTGTTTCAGGATGATCACTGAGTTTTGAGGCACCCAATTCACTTCTAGAGAGGAGGAAAGGGACCCAGGGAGACTGAAGGACCAAAACCTTCTCCTGATCACCATGTTGCCTTTCCCTTGGGGATGGGAAATCTCCAGAAATGTACAGCTCTTGGCTACGAACTCTGTTACACAGACAGACCATCCTTACTACAAAGAGTGATGGGAATCCAAGTATTTTCCTTTCCACCTTCTGTTATTGCTGTTGTTGTTAGGTGCCGGCTAATCAGTGCCAACCCATAGCAACCCCACGCACAACACAGTGAACACGGCCCAGTCCTGCCCAATCCTCACACGTGCTGTGTAAGGCCATGGCTGCGGCCACTGCGCCACTCCCATCTTTTTGCAGGTCTTCTTCTATGTCGCCGACCTTCCACTTTGCCAAGCATGATGTCCTGACTCATAACGACCCTGTATAGGGTTGCTGAGGCTGTAAATCTTTACAGGAGCAGAAAGCCTCATCTTTCTCCCGTGAATGGCTGGTAGTTTCCAGCTGCTGACCTTGAGGTTAGCAGCCCGATTCCTAACCACTACGCTACCAGAGCTCCTTCCTTCTGTAGTATAGGAGAACAAAGCATCCTAGAGGTCTCGGGTGGGTGCTGACTGGCGAACACCTCCTACGTGTCATGGTTGTGAAGACAAGTGCAATCCCATAAGAAGCTTAAGATGAACATCTGCACGTGCAGTAGTGATCTGGGTCAGTGGCCAGAGCATGGCACCTTGCTTGGTGGCTATTGGCTGTCATCAAGTCATCTCCAGTTCACGGTGGGCTCATGTACAACAGAAGTAAATGTTGCCCAGTCCTATGTCATCCTCGTGGTGTTTAGGATGTTTGAGCCCACTGTGGTGGCCACTGTCAGTCCACCTCTTGGAGGGTCGCCTTGCTTGGTATCGAGTTGGTTCCTACTCTATGCCGCCCTGTGCCCAGCAGAACGGAACACTGCCCGGTTCTGGGCCATCCTCACAATTGTTCTTCTTGAGCCCATTGCTGCTGCCACAGTGCCAGACCAGCTCATTGGGGGTCTTCCTCTGTACCTCAACCCTCCACTTTGCCAAGCATGATTTCCTTCTCCAGTGACTGGTCCCTCCTGTGAATATGTTCAAAGTATGAGAATCAAAGTGTCACCATCCTGTCTTCTAAGGAGCATTTTGGTTGTACTTCTCCCGACAGATTTGCCTGTTCTGGCATTCCATGGTACTTTTATTTTTTAAATGTTTTATTGTGAATTATGTGATAGTTTACATGGGAGAACATTAGCTTTACATTCATCCTATCGTGTATCGTTTCATTGCCATGGTTACAATCCCTTCCATGCATCATCAACCATCCAAAGGGTATACCCTGCAAGCCTGCCTCTCGGTTATCAGCACACAGCCCCTCTCCTTCTCTGGGTCTAGAGTCCCTGGCTGCTCCATTTCTCCACGTCGTTGTCTCTGCCTCCATCTCTGGCGTCACTGCGTCTCTGGGTAGAGTCCCACACTCTGCTCTTCTCCCTTGATGGTCCCAGAGACCTCCACTCCTGGACTGCAAAGTCAACCATTCCCCTCCTTTTGCTATAAAATATCTACCTTTACATTTCTGACCCTCACAGTCAGTCCTGATAACAATTATTCACTATTGTATCACAAGAGTCTTATCCCCATTTCCTTTCATCAGCCCCACCTAGACAGATTGGGTAACTACTCAGTGGAAATTCTACCTTCCTCCATGCCCTCTGGATCTAGGTTCCCTCTTGAAAGCTTGTAAGCCAGTTACTTCTTGCCTTTGTAGCCCTCTCCATTATGGATAGCTAATGTCCAAGTTTCCCATGTCCAAGTTGTTCCATGGTACTTTTAATCTTCTCTAACACCATAGCTCAAATGATCTTCCTTACTGTCCAACATTCACATTCATATGAGGCTACTGAAAACACCATGGCTTGGACCAGACGTACCTTATTCCTCAGACTGACATCTTTGCTCTTGCTTAGTCCCTGGGAGACATTTAGTGAAGGTGTGCTGCATGCATCCTGACTCTGAGATAGCATTCATCGAGTGACCGCTGTGTGCTAAGTATTTCCACGTGCAGCCAGATACTCCAGTACTCACTGCATGCGACCGCTTGGAGAACTTACCAGACCAGTTAGACTGTAAAAGGTAGGGCTGAGTTGTAAGCACACTCTACAGAACCCTAGAACAAAGGAAGACCTGAAGTTAGAACCGGTTTGGGGAGGTCTCCATTCTGGTCAGAAGTGGTCTGTGTCCAGCTACTGGGTCCTGTGCACACCCCCGTGTGGCAGAGCATCCTCAGGGATGAGGAGAAAGAGGCAGAGCCTGGCTACTCTTTCTTGTCAGATTCTGAGTTGTCTTCTGTCTTCCCCACGCAGCACCCGGCAGTGCCACCTGCTCCTGGATGTCTTCAACTCGACAGAGCACGAGCTGACCATCAGCGCCAGGAGCAACGAGGAGCTCATCCTGCATGCGGGCGAGTGCCAGCGGTGAGTCCCCAGCTCTCAGCGGATGGGTGTCTCCTTCTGTAGGCACTATTGTGCCAACTATTCAAGTTGAGCAAAGGAATTTGAAGTGGTCTCAGATGAGAGCTAAGGGTAACAAAAGGTACCACACGTGCTTCCGGGCACCAGGTTTGGGGCAGTTTCCTTGTAAGTTCTTGAGACAGTTGTGTCTGGGAATGCTGGGGTTGGGGTTGATTAGCATTAGGAGATTAATGCCAAACCCAGACCTCTGGGGGACATCTGCCCTCCGTCCTCTTGGTCGTGTCTGGACATGTGGATGCAGTGTGGGGTCCCAGAGAACACACCCTGTTCTTCTACAGCCCTTTGTAAAGTTGCAGACGGCCGATTGTCTGTCTAGTACGCTGCTCTTGGTCTTGGTCATCAAGATCTATGTGATGAGCGGTCCCACGCACCACAGCCCCGGAGCCTGTCTTTTCGGCTGCTTCATTACTGAGCTTCTTGCGCAAGATCTTCCATCTTAATGTCCCTTGTGCACACATCATTTATCCATTCATACAGCATTCGTTCATTCAGTATTGACGTGTAGAGTGCTTGCTGGGCGGTAAGCCCTGTGTCAGACCCCAGGAACGCCAGGGTGAATGTATAAAGACCCTCTGCCCAACCCACGCTCTTACTGACTGAATGACAGCCCAGCATGGTGCCGGTCCGTCAGCTGCTGCTGTACCACAGGGTGTCTTGCTGTCCAGGGTGGGCTGGGGAGAGTGGACTCCAACGGACACCTCAGTGTTGTGTTTGTCTGAGTCACCGCAGGCGCTACTCTTGGGGGTCCCCACCAGTCCCTTGATGCCACTGCTGTTTATCTTTATGTTTGGGGAAGGGTGCACCCTGCAGTGCCCCCAACCACCATCTCTTCTGAGGACCCCTGCAGGATGTGGGGAGTCCCTTAGCTTCCCCTTGCCCTCTTCTCTTGCCTAACCTTCTTCCTGGGCCCCGCACCTGCACCTGCTCCCCCACCATGGTGACAGTCTGAGTTTGGGAGGACGAGCTACTTGCCCTGCTGCAGAATTTGCCCTCGTCTTCCGGACAAGCAAACTGAGCAAGTGGATTGACATTATTCAGTGCCAACCCCGCCCGTGTCCCTGCTGGCCACTCGCTGCCCCGGCCATGCTGAATGCCCAGAGGAGAGGCAGCCAGGTGGACTGACAGAGCACAGGGGAGGGAAGGAGGGAGACATATTTAAGGCTTGTGTTGGGTCTCTTCTCCCCACTCTGCATGGCCTATGGTTGTCTGGTTTATTTGTTCTAACTTTTGGTTTGAATTGGATGAAGGTTGGAAGGAGGAGCTGCTCAGTTTCCAGTCAGCAGTTCAGACCCATTTTATTTCATGTCCCTGCTCGCAGTTCCCACAATGCAGCTTCACTCATCCCACCTCCTCCCTGGCTTTCCTGTTTCCCTTCCACCTTCTGAACTTGACCCTTGGGTCAATGCTGTCCTTTTGATCTCCAGTGATTGACCATTCTGTGGTGTGTGTACCTCACAAGTGTTGTTGTTTCCCTGTAGACCTATCTGTTGTTGGCTGAAAGCTGAGCCTTGGGGTGTCTAAGGAGCACAGTCCTGAGTCCTCCCCACCCCCAGCCCCCAGTATCTATCTAACCGGAAGCCTGGTCATTTTTGATGATTCTGACTCTTTCCCTCTACGTGGCCTTTGATAAGGTGCCAGTGGCCTGAGTGGGTGGGGAGGGGGTTAGGAAGGGAAGTACAAACTGCTCCTGCACCCTTCAAACGCTGTCACACACGTCCTGAGAGGCCAGGTGACACGCGTCCCATGACACTCATGGGATGAGTGTTGCAGCCCCTTTTGCAGATGAACAAGGAGGTCTAAGGAGGTCATGGTGTGCCAAGGACCGTGTGATTAGTGTTTGTGAAGTGTGTGCTCACTTGGGGGAGTGGTAGGCTGAATAGTCAGGTGTTTACAGTGAAACGTATGCCTATTGTTGTATCTTCCGGTTTTGTCATTTAAATAAAGCATTACCTTTAGGCAAATAGGCAGAGAAAGTGCTTTCTGACCCTACTGTCTTCCTCCTCACAAGCGAGCCCACCCACCACCTGTGGGTTTTGACGTATCAGTGCCACCATTGAGAGGGTTCAGTATTCAACTTGGAGCCCTGCTGTTGCACTGCGGATTAATGCTCTGGACTGTAAGGTTGGTGGTTCAAGCTTACCAGCCGCAACTTTGAAACCGTACCCAGGGTGGCTATGGGTTGGAACTGACTCGATGGCACTTAACAACAACATTCCACTTCACGTTTGCCCCACGTGATTTGTGGTGTCTGGAACAACACACCATAGTCATGACATTAAATCTCTGCGGCCCAACTGGCCGCCACCATGGCGTTCATGTGCATCTTGACCCAGGTGTCAGCTTTGCCCCTGTTTTTGCAGATGAGCAAGGAGGCTCGGCAGGTCACAACTGGCTAAAGGTCGAGCAATGAGTCAGAATCAGGGCCCAAGTCTCCATGACACCAGCCGCCCTCCTTGGCAGGGTCACCCTTCCCTGGAATTGGACAGTTCTGCATTTCCAGGTTCACAAGATGACCAGATATGACAGAAAGCGCTTGTGAGCAAAACCGCCTGAACTCTCCTTAGGAGACACAGCGCGGCCAACAGCAAAGCCTTTCATTTACCAGAAAATTCAGATTTGATCGTCATTGTATTTTAGCTTAATTATCAAACCATTAAAATTCAATTTCATGACAGCCTTCCCTTCGCATAAATCTCTTTAGGATTTATGATAATGGCTGTAGTCCCACTGGCCCTCAGCACTTGGGGAGGACAGAGTCCCACGTCACCGTGACTGCCCGTGCTGATTGAAGGGAGGATCTGGATTGATGGGCCCGTTCTCTGTCTGGATGGTATGCACAGGTGAATTATGGAACAGCTCCCCCGCAAGATGGTCAGGGAAGAATCCCACCAGCGGTCTACTACGGGGCGTGCAGGACTGCATCCTGAGGACCTGGGTGGAGGGCCACAGATTGTTCCTGGAACCAGGAGCCAGGAGGCCTGCGTTCTTTGCTGCTGCTTTTCTTGTTGAATGTAAAGGGTTTTTATAATCTAGGAGCCCTGGTGGTGCCGTGGATGAAGCACTGAGCCAGTAACCGAAAGATGAGTGGTTCAGACCTACCATCTGCTCAGAATGAGAACCATGAGACAGTCTGCTGCCGTAAAGATTGGCAACGGTGGGAGCCCTGTGAGGCAGCTCGACTCTGTCCCGTAGTGTGGCTCTGTGTCACAGTCCACTTGACAGCAGTGGCTTAGGTTGTTCATTTGTTTCCTGATACTCGGTGTCCCTGGGTGCTGTAAATGGTTGACAGACTCATCTGCTAACTGAGAGGTTCTGGCCTACCTGATGCCTCAGAAGAAACTCTGCCTCCAGCGTTTCCCCCAGTGAGAGCTAGACCGAGCACAGCTCCCCTCTGACATCCATGGGGCGGAATCAATGCAGCTGGGTTTCTGATGATCCAGCCACCGGCTCAGGCTTCGATTCTGCCTCAGCTGTCTACCTTCTGCTGCTGAGTGGCCGCTGGTGTGTCCTGCGCTGAGGCCCCTTGGCAGTGCCCAGCACAACTGGTGCATGCTGGAACCACACTCCCGCAGTCCGCTCTGCCCACCACTGTCTAGGGAGATGGACAGACAGCTGGTCAGCAGCTCCTGCACCTCCTGCCTTTCTGGGCTCATGGTAGGCTAGTGTCTTGCTTTATATCCAAGCCCAGGACGCCCCAGAATGCAGAGACCTGGCTCACTGCCCCAAGTGGATCTAATATGTCTTCCCCTTTCGTTCCTCCAAACACACAGGTGCCCTGTGAACCATCTTATAACAGCCTCCTGCTGACTGCTGCTTCATCTTGTTGATCATTTTGTGCATTTCTCACCCCATGGGCTGTATACTGGGCACTCCTCTGTTAGCAGGCCTGTCCCTCGGCCTGGGCCTTCCCTCCAACAATCTTTCCCAGTTCTAAAGAACTGCTCAGATTTTCACGGTGCTCTCTCTTCCAGACTCCCTGAAAGGAATAAGAGATGAGTGCTTTGGAAACTTTGATTCTAAATATGAGGAGAAAGCATGCATTTGGTGTCCTCTTGTCCCTTCGATGGGCCAAGAGGGAAACTGAGGCTTGTCTTTAGTCAGCAGATCACTGGCAGAGTGCTGTTAGACCTCAGGACCCCCGACCCCCAGTCCAGAGTTGTCTCCCCACCCAAGTGGCCTCTCTTCAAATTAGCGATGTCTAAGGACTTCTGGTGTGGCGCTGTGGGTTAATGTACCAGACTGCAAAGCCGTTTGAACTGCAAGGTCGGCAGGTCAAGCTCACCAGAAGCTCCTCGGAAACCCTGTACAGGGTCGCTATGGGTCAGAACTGACTCAACGGCACTTCACAACAACAATAACAAGGCACACCTGACTTAAGCCAGGGTATTCTCAGTTGCCTCCTATCTGGTAGCGTAGTGGTTACGAATCGGGCTGCGAACCTTAAGGTCAGCGGTTCGAAACTACCAGCTGCTCCGCGGGAGAAAGATGAGGCTTTCTACTCCCGTAAAGATTTACACCCTCGGAAACCCTGTACAGGGTCGCTATGGGTCGGAACCGACTCGACGGCACTTAACAACAACAACAACCTATGCATGTGAAAGATGGACAATGAATCAGGGAAACTGTAGAAAAATCGATGCATTTGAATGATGGTGTTGGCAAAGAATATTCAATACACTGCGGACTGCCAGGAGAATGAGCAAATCTGTGTTGCGAGAAGTACAGCCAGAGTGCGTCTGAGAAGCCACGATGGGGAGACTTCATCTCACATACTTTAGACGTTTCAGGAGGGACCAGTCCCTGGGGAAGAACATCAAGTGTGGTAGAGAAAAGCCGCTCCCCCCTCAGCGAGCTGGATTGGTAGAGGCTTCAGCAATGGGCTCAAGCGTGAAAGTGATTGTGAGGAGGGGCAGGGATTTGTTCTGTTCTTCACAGGGTCACGA